AAAATACTGACTGTTTGTTTTACTTTAAAGTGTTTAATTTTATTACATTTTCATGCTCCATACTCACAGAATTTAATTGAATATTTTTATAAAGATTATTTTGAAGTCATGTCTCAAGTTGGTAACATAGTGATATGCATATATTTCATACTATACAAATAATAGCTTTTTATATTAGTATAAGATCAAGTGAGTGCAAAATTAAAAAAAAGAGGAATTACAAATTATATTGTGCACAAAATTACCTTAAAATAATCTGAATTCTTTTTTACCAGATTAATCTAATTGTAAAACACACACATAGCATAATGCATGTTTTAACAACATAACATACTTGAAATCTTCTTAAATATAACACTTTTTTACGTCTTCATATAAATAAAGTGGTTATAAAAAGTGAAAACTACTTTAACTGTCCACAGTTGTAAGAAATAATATTAGAGTTCATTTTAGTAGTATGGCTCCACCGAAGAAAGCTTGATAAGTATATGAATGATAAGGGCTGGTTTTAAAATTTTCTTTTACATTTATTTATAAGTAGTTCGAGTTTAGTTTATTAGTTTAGAGAATGGAACAGCTGAGATGGATCAATAGGTCCCATGTTGTCCCAAAAGGTTATGTTATCTCATAAGTTGCTAAAAGTAATTTATAAGTACATCATTTTAAATAAGTATTTATTTCCTAGAGATTTAGTAAAACATATTACCTTATAGGTATGAGCACATATTTGCTTTGGGTAAATGAAGAGTTACTTTCATATGTCTTCTTTCTTGATCCCAATAAACATTTAATAGAATGGTTCAACAAAATCAAACTCAAACACACAGCAGACAGACTTGAGATGAAGAGGATTATATGACTATTCCAAATGGTAAGACAAAGGACTAATGGAAATACCAATAGCACGATTTCTGTGATAACCTTCACCCTGAAAAGCAAGGAATAATTAATCAGATAAAAAAGATTTATAACATTGTACTTTAGTAACAAGTTCATTTAAGTTTCATGCCTTTTTTATGCATTTAGGGAGAAATTAACACATTTCAATATTAAAAACTAAACCAAAGTAATATTTTTATTAACTTTTTAAGTACACTGTCTACTTAAATATTTATAATAACCATTTTAAATATGCTCAATTCATTGCTATAAAATTAAATTTCAATGAACAATGAAAAACTCTGTTAGATCCACACATGCCATGTGAAGTGTCAAAGTTCTTGTATATTCACTTAATGCCCCACATTAAGTGACACAGTGTAATTAAAATTGTAAATGAAAAGGAAAAATCTGTTGATAAGGTTAGGGTACCATAAGTAATTAATGTAGATGAGCAAAACTAACATGGCCTGAAATACACTATTAAATATGTAACACAATATTAAACCTAAAAGAAACTACCATGAATTAAAATATTTTCTCTGTTGGAAAGAGGACATGCACTCTAACAAGGGATAAGGGCTGAAAACACTGCTAATAACAAGGGTACCCAATTGTTGACCTAGGACAGAGTGACCATAAAAACTATCTGTAGTTTGCTTGTTGCTCATAATTAAGACTATTTATTATTAACTGTAATTGTAGATTTTTAGTACTTCTTATGGTAGAAGTTATTACATGAACATTTATAATGCCTAACCAGGATTTTCATCATTTTGAAAAAAAAAATCAATCAAAAAACACAGGAGAATCATATGCTTAAAGTCCTTCATTAAGATATATAAGCTGCATGAGTAAAAACACCTGAATTTCTGAATGAAAGGTGCTTTTCTACTTGAGTTTCTACAATTATGATACAGGGTCAAAAAGGAGTGCATGGTGATTCAGCATATACCTAAGAGAGCATCTATTAGTGTATATTCACTAAATTATCAAAGTACCACGAAGAGAACATTAAAAGTGCAGAGGCTTATTGACAAAAAAGGGCACTTTTTAAGTGTTGTAAAGCAAGCCTTTTTTTTGGAGAAGGGGGACTGTATTTTGCCTCTGGTATACATAGTGTAAAAAGCCATGAAAAACAAATAGATCTTCTTTTATTCTTACTCAATAGGTCTTATAAACATCTAAAATTTATAACTAAACAGTGAATTCTTGCATATTAACACCTAATTGCATATCACAATTGTCTTTTGTTTTTTTACTGCAAAAATTTACAAGTCCCTGTGTTCCATTCATTTTAAAGGTGAAATATTTTTTTCTATCTAATAACTCACAGCAAGGAAGATGTGAAATCAGGCATACCCTTTAGTAGTAGTTGACAATTTTTTTCTGACTGAGAAAAATGGCATTTTTGGGGTATAAGGGCAAGGGATTAAGCTAAATCAGCCATCCCACTGGGCACATCACTGTCAAAGTACTGAAATAACACATCCCTATAAAGTAATATGTCCATTCCCACTGAATTTTCTTGTAAAAACTAAAGAATACTTGTTGTGGGATTTAAAAATGCCAATAGATGTCAGAGATAGTCTATGGGAGTCAATATGCCACAAAGAAATAACTTGTCTATACATTTAAAACATTAAAATCAATGCCCAGAACATTAATCATAATTCAGGACTGCCAGCCAATACAACAACTGCATGCTGAGTACTCCTTGCTGCTGGTAAGCTCATGAGCTTGAGCTTCAAAATTGTGGTTAAGAACAATGAAAACTATCTCTGTCACTCACTGTTTACTTTCAATAGAACGATTTGGGTTTGTCAAAAACCAGAAAGCTTTAAATATGACTGTGCCATCCCAACTGTAATGAGAGATGGGGTTGGTATCCTAGTGTGGTTTATTTTACCTGATTTAAAATCAGTTCACCGTAACAATTAAGGAAGGTAAACTCCTTCATGCATTGTGGACAATTCTGTAATGCCTGGACTGATGAAATTCTATGTGAAAGGACCATACACTATCAGAAATTCACTACACCATACTATTGAATTTCTGTATCCAACAGTTATTTGACAAAACTAACTTTGAGGATACAACTTGGCATGCAGCTCACAGCCCTAACTTGATTCAACTGAACACTTCTGGGTTGTTCAAAAATGGTGTCTGAGAGACAGAAGTTGAAATTATTTTACACTTGAATGCTCTGCATGAGAGGTAAAGTTTTATTCTATCATATGTGTTACAAAAGTTGACAGATGATGATTAACATGAATATTAATATTTTTATTAACAGAAACTGTATTCTTGATAGATACTCATCACCACACACAGTTTAGTTATCTTCCTAGCACATCTGCCATAGAGCACTAGCCACTAGCCTAGAGGCAACTTCCACCTAATTTCACATGAACTGTGCTGGTGCATGATGAGAAAAGCCTTCCACCAATAGGAGTGCTACACATCTCCATGTGCAATGACCACCCATGCACTTGCAGTTGTGGTAATTTCATTCTTCAACATAGCAAGAAAAAAAAACTGCACCAGAAGTGAGGAGGATGGGTGGGAATGTATCCAGAGGTATGTATCGGACTGTATAATTTTCCTATCCTGGAAATGTATTTCTGATAGGTACTTACCTCCTTTCAGGGATATAGCTATTCTTGTTCAGTGCTGTCCTCTATATGCAAACATATTTTGCATTCCACGAGCCTTGAGCTTCCACATACTTCACGATCAACATGGTTCAACTGCTTCTCGTATATAAATAAGGAGTGCAACACACTTTCTTGATGCATATGACTTCCTCTATTCCATTTTATCGATTTATCACTTCAAGTCTTAGCAGAAAATGGAAGCACCAGTTTTCAGTGGTGCATAAAATTATAACTGCTGGTAAGGTAACTTACCTCGCCTCACAGATATAGCTAGAATTCCACATTGAATAGGTGAAGGGACTGGTGCAAGGAAAAGAAAGAAGCATCCTTTGAAAGCATTTGAAGAGCACCTGAAAAGTGGAGATCCTACAAGGAAGACCACACCACATTCATACTAGGTATACTGTACGCCCAGTATGGAAAGAAACATTGCAAACATGGGCAGAAAAAGAAAGCACATCCAGAAGGAGAGAACAACATTTGGATGATAATCCAAACCACATGATATTAAAATCTCAATTTCTTTGGAAACCATAATGTGGGTGAGAGTAAAAGGATGTGCCCTAAGGTGTAGAGTGGCTAGGGTGCAAGAGACTATATACAGCAAGTCGAATGCATCCAAAACTCACCCACTGGAAACCGACATCCATGTTGAGGAAGGATGAGGATCATACTGTCGGTAAGTTAACTACAATCCAAAACCTAGCCACTGGGAACCAACATCTATGAGAGGGTAGGAAAGATGATCATATCATCAGCAAGTCAACTACAACTATAACTGGAAAGTGGTAAGGACTTCTGTATTCCATTAGAAGAAAAAGGAGGAAGAAAATGCAGTTGAGAGTGCAACAGGTGACAACCCTATTTTGAAAAGCAGACTACTCCTGAATAATTCAATCTAAGAAATGGCAGGGATAGGCAGCTATTTCCTTTCTGCTTTACCCATGAAGTCCATGGTTTAGTATGGTCTGGAATAGGCATATTAATAGTTAAAATTTTCCTATACAAAATGTATTTCCAATAGGTACTTCCCTCTTCTCACAAGATTAGCTTTTCCTGTTTTGTGCTGTGCTCTATATGCAAACTTTTTTCAAAATGTATGCCATAAGCCTTCCTCATCCCTCTGTTGGAATCCAAAATTCCAACATGTCTCTCATGTAAGTCATCACGTGTCTGCGAGCACCACAAGATTGTGGGAAGAAAGGGTGGGAAGTGTGAGATGAGAGAAGTACATTTCCATACAGGAAAATTATAACTTCCAATATGGTACATTCCCCCAGCTCACAAAACTAGCTTGAATCCCACAATGAAAAGGAGGAGGGACCAGTGTGAGAGAAGAACAGGCATATCCCCCAAAAGCATCCAAAGGACACCCCCGGGAATGAGAGTAACAGATCAGATGATCTGAGGAGGGGTACTACACCACTTCTGAAACAGGTATCTTTTCACCATGAAAATGTGGGATCAAAACATCGGGGAATATGAGGGGAGCACATCTGCGTGGGAGGGAATAGGTCAGTAATGTGATCCCAATCAGAGAAAGAGATACACTCAATCCCACGTAATTAGTGGTTATTCGAGGATGTGTTCCATGGTGTAGAGTGGTTTGCATGTGTTGGACTGTACTTGGTAAGTCATCTGCATCCAAAAATCTCACTCGCTGGGTACTGACATCTACGTGAGGATAGGGTGAGAATCATACCATCTTCACTTCAATCCCTAGAGTCATGAATGTTCATATAATATCGACTTCAGGAAACATCACAGGATGAGTATTGAGTTAGGGACCTGGGTATGTGTCATCCGGTATCCAAGAAAAGTCCATAGCAAGCAATCAACCCTAACAACCAAGAAACTCATCTGAAAGTCCACAGGTCTGTAACATCCTTGTCATTCTGAGAATGAAGGAATGCCCAGACAGAACCAGAAATAGACCACGTAGACCTTCTGCAACCCATAACACAGAAGACAGAGTGAAGGGGGAAGATGATTGACCCAAAACCTGTGTGAGAACTTGTGTGATCGGTTCACTTGATCTCCAAAACCTCACTTGCTGGGAACTAACATCCACGTGATGGTAGGAGGATGTAAAGTAAGAGCATCAAGGACCACATTAATGTTCCAGTCCAGAAGTGATGGTTGTCTTGGCAGCCAATGGAGCCAGAAAGAACAGATCAACATGGAAATGACTTTTGGGGGAAAATACCCAGCAGAAACATGAAAAATGGAAGGCACGGATAAGGCTGCCTCAAAACCTGAAATGGAGGAGACCAATGAGCCCGTCTCAAAGAATTTGGAGATACCAGCAACTGTAGGGCGATAAGCCAGGAAATCCCAAGCCAAAGCCCAGGAGTGAACAACACTCCACTTCCAACTGTAAAAAGCCAAGAAA